GAGGACCTCCCTGCCCGCCTTGGTCTGCAATCGGGCTTCGAGAGGGTAGCCATGATCCTCGAGCAGCTGTGTTCTGGCACCTCACACAACGCTTACCTTCAGCAGTATGTGCAGCCAAGAACAGCCCAACACGTGTCATGCTGCTAGGCGAGTCATTGACTTGATCTCAAACCTGGCGGGCCGTCCAGGAGAAGATGCTCTCAGGCTTTGGTGCAGACCAAGTGTTCGCTTCTTGCCCAGCTACTGCGTTCCAGAGGTGCTTCATCTTGGAAAACGTGAGTGGCATCAAAACGGAAGATGCAAACGGGTGTCGCGGAATCGACGAGATCACAAGGCATAGGACATAAGAATCAGGGAAGAGTGGTCGCTGAATTTTGAACGATGACCCTGGGCCAGGCGGCTCCGAGCAGCTGCGCCTGCCTTCACGGTGAGGCCTTGATTGCCACTGAGCCTGCTGCGCCAACTGCGTCGCAGCATGCAAACAGAGGATCTACGACATGAATTCGCAGGACTTCTGATTCTTTGTTTGCACTTTTCGTGATATTTCTGAGGAAGGTTTACTTCTGTGAGTATCATTTATACGCCTCTAGGTATCACTATTGTTTTTTGTGGGTTTTGGTTTGTCGAAGTGGTTGTGGTTTGGCCTCACTGGTTTCTGGATTACTGCAGCTTTCTGGTTTTGGGTTGGAGGTTGAGCTTGTGCTTGGAGCGTCGCTGATTCGCACGATCCCCACCAAAGAAAGGAAGGTCGTTTTTCATGCACGTTCTAGCATATGTCAACATTAATTTCAGAGATTTTCTGCACTTTTCCCTGTTGTTCTTCACATCTGGTTTCATCGTGCTTTTTATTAGTTTGGGGCGTTTTTCATCATGTGTCTCACTTGCTCATGACATTTCATCATGTCTCGTCATTTTTAATTCTGCTTGCATCATTTCCATCATTTTCATTTGTTGTAATCATATGTTTTCATGCGCATCGCTTTCACTACATTTCATCTACCTCTTGTTCATAGTTCGTCACGTTTCATTACGCATCATCCCGTTTCATCATGTTTCACCATGTATCTCGGGCACCGTATTCATGATCGCTCATCATCTTCCTCATGTTTCATCATCTCTCGCCACTTTCCTTCATCACATCTCATTGTCACCCTACTTTATGATTTTCATCATATTCTAGCAAGTTCATTATCTTTTATCGTTTTTGATCACTTTTCATTTGTTTTTTTCATTCTTCATCATGTTTAATCATATTCGTGACGCTCCAAGAGTTTTGATCCTTGTCAGCACATGCCATTTATGTTCATCGTACATTTTCTTTGTAGGTCATCATGTTTCATCATCTTTTTTTATCATGTTTTCATGTTGCTTTTTCGCCATAATGTGTCATCACCTCTTTCTATCATCAATTCCCAATGTCTTCTTGTATATCGGTTTTCATCACATGCAATCATTTTCATAATTCTCCCTGTTCGTCATATTTCCTCATGTCTGATGATTTATCATCACGTGCAGAGGTTCAAAAGCCTTGTTTGTTCTGTTCTCGTTCTGATTTTTGTTGCTTCTTATCATTGCCAAACCAAAAGTATTAGAAGAAAGCACAAGCGGCCAAGTTTTGCAAGGGAAAGCAGCGCTCCTAACCCTCCCCCCTGTATCCAGGCCCGGGGAATCTCGGTAGAGATGTAACAATAGGATAGTGCTAGTTAGAATAGTTGTAAGCGTTTTTGTTCTGCTACAGCGTACAGAGTATACGCCTTGAACCACTTACATTGCGGAAATGCATAACCATGCATACAAAGATATACAGGTACAGGACATATA